TGTATATACAAACCCAATTCCAAAAACGTTGGGACACTGTACAAATTGTGAGTAAAAAAGGAATGGAATAATTTACAAATCTCATAAACTTATATTTTATTCACAATAGAATATAGATAACATATCAAATGTTGAAAGTGAGACATTTTGAAATGTCATGCCAAATATTGGCTCATTTTGGATTTCATGAGAGCTACACATTCCAAAAAAGTTGGGACAGGTAGCAATAAGAGGCCGGAAAAGTTAAATGTACATATAAGGAACAGCTGGAGGACCAATTTGCAACTTATTAGGTCAATTGGCAACATGATTGGGTATAAAAAGAGCCTCTCAGAGTGGCAGTGTCTCTCAGAAGTCAAGATGGGCAGAGGATCACCAATTCCCCCAATGCTGCGGCGAAAAATAGTGGAGCAATATCAGAAAGGAGTTTCTCAGAGAAAAATTGCAAAGAGTTTGAAGTTATCATCATCTACAGTGCATAATATCATCCAAAGATTCAGAGAATCTGGAACAATCTCTGTGCGTAAGGGTCAAGGCCGGAAAACCATACTGGATGCCCGTGATCTTCGGGCCCTTAGACGGCACTGCATCACATACAGGAATGCTACTGTAATGGAAATCACAACATGGGCTCAGGAATACTTCCAGAAAACATTGTCGGTGAACACAATCCACCGTGCCATTCGCCGTTGCCGGCTAAAACTCTATAGGTCAAAAAAGAAGCCATATCTAAACATGATCCAGAAGCGCAGGCGTTTTCTCTGGGCCAAGGCTCATTTAAAATGGACTGTGGCAAAGTGGAAAACTGTTCTGTGGTCAGACGAATCAAAATTTGAAGTTCTTTTTGGAAAACTGGGACGCCATGTCATCCGGACTAAAGAGGACAAGGACAACCCAAGTTGTTATCAGCGCTCAGTTCAGAAGCCTGCATCTCTGATGGTATGGGGTTGCATGAGTGCGTGTGGCATGGGCAGCTTACACATCTGGAAAGGCACCATCAATGCTGAAAGGTATATCCAAGTTCTAGAACAACATATGCTCCCATCCAGATGTTGTCTCTTTCAGGGAAGACCTTGCATTTTCCAACATGACAATGCCAGACCACATACTGCATCAATTACAACATCATGGCTGCGTAGAAGGATCCGGGTACTGAAATGGCCAGCCTGCAGTCCAGATCTTTCACCCGTAGAAAACATTTGGCGCATCATAAAGAGGAAGATGCGACAAAGAAGACCTAAAACAGTTTAGCAACTAGAAGCCTGTATTAGACAAGAATGGGACAACATTCCTATTCCTAAACTTGAGCAACTTGTCTCCTCAGTCCCCAGATGTTTGCAGACTGTTATAAAAAGAAGAGGGGATGCCACACAGTGGTAAACATGGGCTTGTCCCAACTTTTGAGATGAGTTGATGCCATGACATTTAAAATCAACTTATTTTTCCCTTAAAATGATACATTTTCTCAGTTTAAACATTTGATATGTCATCTATGTTGTATTCTGAATAAAATATTGAAATTTGAAACTTCCACATCATTGCATTCTGTTTTTATTCACAATTTGTACAGTGTCCCAACTTTTTTGGAATCGGGTTTGTATTATTCAGTCAAAACTATCAACATACTTTGATTCTGGTCAATGGTGTCAAAACAACATGTGCAAAATAAATAAACAACAAAGCACTCACTATTGTTTCTGCTAAAAGCCCTCAATATAATGTAAATGCATCTATTTCTCTATCCATTTATCCTCTCTGCTTTCTCCAGAGTTTATGCCATGGAATTGTTTTTTATTTTTTTGGGTGGGGGGGGGGTTGTTTTTGCATTTAACTACTTACAGATTTCTTCAGATGAATAGACAACATGTTCAGTGACTTCAGTAATGAGACTACTACTGTTTACAATCACTTAGACCAGAAATTTACTTTATGGAAGCACATAGATGCAAATGCGTGGCCAGCACTTTGCAAGTCTGGAATTGTGCATGCTTAACATACATTTTGGCACTACTAAGCAGCAGCCAACCTCAGTACCCCAGAGAGTGATATAGTTACTTCTACTCTGTAAATGTCTGTTTTTCTAACTACTTAAGAAAGTTCTCTTTAAACTGTTCCATAACCTGGGGTACGTTTCCCAAAAGCAAGTATTTATGCACGTTCCATTCGTTACCAATAGTTTTCAATGGTTAGCTAACCATAGTTAGCTAACGATGCTTTTGGGAAATGCACCCCTTATGCATTTATGCACATCCCCACTCAGCAAAAATGGAGCTTATTGAGAAAATGCTAAAATACGTATGCAAAGTATGTTTGAGGCCTCATCCTAACAGCTCAAACAATTAGTGAAATCTTTGCACATCTGTGCAATATACTGTTTTGTCCAAATAATTGTTTGCTCTCCAGCAGCAGGTCAAGATGATGACAACAAATTAGCATTTCAATCACTCATAAATGACAATGTGCACTGCCTTTAAACTTACTTAGGCCCCGTCCACACGAACGCGGTTATTTTTAAAACCACAGCTTTTTCTATGCGGTTAGGCCGTTCGTCCACACGCAAACGCAGCACCAGTTCACTGAAACCGAACATTTTTGAAAACACCTGCCAGGGTGAAGATTTTCAAAAACTCCGGTTGCAGTGTTATCGTGTAGACAGCGAAACCGGAGTTTTTGGCTTGTGACGTCGGCGCCTGCGCTGTTATCTCCGCCTACTGGATAATTTTTCAGGCTTCTGATTGGCCAACATGGCTTTACGATTGAGATTATATCACCACCTGTTGGTTTGGCATGCTCTTGACAGTGCTTCATAGCATGCGTTTTCGTTTTCATGTGAATGGAGATTTTTTTTTTTTAAACGGAAGAAGGAAAAACGTATAAAAAATACCTGTGTACGTGTGGACATGGCCTTAATCTCTTATGTGTGGCAGGTTATCCTTCATTAGGTGCAGATGCCTCTAATTAGTGAGATTCAACACATAATTTACCCATCACACCACACTAAATGACTGCTTAAATATTCATATGCTGACACCAAGAAGAGTAAAAACTTCAAGATGCATGAACAATCAACACAAATCTAAATAAACAAATACAGAAACATACATAAACACAACTGTAATATTTACATTAACATTGTTACATTTTAGACTCAATATTATCTGTTTTGCTCAATTTTGCAAACAAAAATAGTTCCATATAATAAGGGAATAAGTGTATTCTTATTTTGCAAATCTGCCAGTGGGGTAAGAAAAATAATCTTGTTTTCTGTTTGCATTAAGCTTATTTTACTTACCCCACTGGCAGATAATTTAACTTGTTTTAAGCAAAACGCACTTAATTTAGTTTTTTCCCACTGGAAACAAGCCTAAACATCTTATGTCATTTTGCTTATCAAGTAAAAGTATCTTGATTTAAGAATTTTTAGATATTTTGACTGGAAACAAGACAAAAACACTAAGATATACATTTTTTTTGCAGTGCACCCTGTCTACAGGACGCGAGCTGCGCAACAAAATACTATAAAACTCATTATAATCAGTGATGCTACACTGGATGCGGTACGACACGACAAATCCCCGACAGTAAACGGCCTCATTCTATTTTTGAGGTACTGACACAGAGTTCAAATGTCCCGTGTAGACACTAGACCGACTCAACCTGTTGCGACGCGGTGGTGTCGTGTCCGGTGTAGACACGGTTCACTGTTCCGCTACTGTTATTACACTTGTATACAAAACTTCGTATTATGCTTGTTATAGAGTGCGTGACGTCACGTGCACTACCACCGGTGGCAAGCGACCACCGTGGTGACGCGGTTGTCACGGCGACCGTCACAGCCCTACCCCTAAATAGGAATATCACCTGCAAAGGAAAAGTCGAAAGTAGTCAAGTAGTCATACCTGCTCCGGTGGGTCCATAGGCAAAGACACTGGCGTTCTGACCATTAAGGATGTGGGGGCTTGACAGATATCGTTTAGCCAATATTATCGGCTGATATGCCACCGACGTGAACATCTTTTCCACAGAACATATAACGCAAATTAAAGGTCCCATGACATGCTGCTTTTTAGATGCTTTTATATAGGCCTAAGTGGTCCCTAGTACTGTATCTGAAGTCTCTTTCCCGAAATTCAGCCTTGGTGCAGAATTTCAGCCACTACGAGCCGGTCCCACAATGAGCTTTCCTTAGGACGTGCCATTTCTGTGTCTGTAGCTTTAAATGCTAATGAGGAGGAGAGAGGCGGGGCAACTGCCATGCTTCGCTCGTTTGCAAGCCATGATGTCTCTCGAGAAAAAAGAAAATATTGCGCTCGCCTCGCACGGTAGTAGCTCATTTTCTCATGGGCGGGCCAAATTCTCTGGGTGGGCAAAGCAGAGAAAGGGGAGGTAACCTTTCCCCGTATGACGACATAAAGGGAAGCTTCCAGATTGGGCCATCTGAGCTTTCATATTCTCAAAGGCGAAGCAGTATACCCAGGACTCGGTTTACACCTATCAACATTTCTAGCCACTGGGGGACCATAGGCAGGCTAGGGGAACTCATATTAATGTTAAAAAAAACTCATAAAGTTAAATTTTCATGTCATGGGACCTTTAAATCTATCAATGCACAAAAAAAATAAATGGTATAATAAGAGTTCCAAGACTATAACAATAAAAAAACAAATAATTTGATGTTATAAATACATATTATTTTGTCCTTAAAAAAAGATTAAATTATTTTAAAAACCCTGCAGAAAAATAGAGCGTTTCAATAAATAAAGCTCAATGTGGTTGACAAACTGAGGGTCAAGGACCTGACTTGTAAGTTCAAGTTTGTGCTAGTTTATCAAATTAGAAAAAATATGCCCTCATAAATAAACACACCCTCGAGAATCAATTCCAGAGGGTAATGACGACGGACACTGATAAATATTGTCGCATTACATTCTCTTCAAAATGGACCTAAACCTAAATCAACTAATGAAATCATACTTCCTGCAAAACGGTCATATAAATAGTAAAAGCCTCCTTCAAGTATAAACCAGTGTTTCTCTCCCTAATAATCCAAACAGTGGAGTTTAGTCAAAGAGAAGTTTGATATCAAATCATGACCTACTGCACTGAGACCATGACCTGCTAAAGCGCTGAATACTGAAGGAGAGAGAATGAGAGGGATGAAGGAGAGAGAGAATGAGAGGGATGAAGGAGAGAGAATGAGAGGGATGAAGAAGAAGAAGAAGAAGAAGAAGAAGAAGAAGAAGAAGAAAGGGACAAGGACCTGACTTGTAAGTTCAAGTTTGTGCTAGTTTATCAAATTAGAAAAAATATGCCCTCATAAATAAACACACCCTCGAGAATCAATTCCAGAGGGTAATGACGACGGACACTGATAAATATTGTCGCATTACATTCTCTTCAAAATGGACCTAAACCTAAATCAACTAATGAAATCATACTTCCTGCAAAACGGTCATATAAATAGTAAAAGCCTCCTTCAAGTATAAACCAGTGTTTCTCTCCCTAATAATCCAAACAGTGGAGTTTAGTCAAAGAGAAGTTTGATATCAAATCATGACCTACTGCACTGAGACCATGACCTGCTAAAGCGCTGAATACTGAAGGAGAGAGAATGAGAGGGATGAAGGAGAGAGAATGAGAGGGATGAAGAAGAAGAAGAAGAAGAAGAAGAAGAAGAAGAATATGACTGACTGGTATTGCAGGGTCTCAGTGGCGTTCCTCCAGTTGATGATCTCCAGCTTTTGTGGCCCCAGACCCCTGACACAGGGCCCCTCTCCCTTCTCATCCTGCTGGTCCAGGTAGGGTCTGAGACGAACCGCCACACGAACCCGAGAGGTCCGTTTGGATCCAGCAGCACCATCGGTCACAGAAACACGCTGGGCCATTCCTGAGATCAACCATCACGACAGACTCGCCATCAAATATACACAAATACAAACATACATCTAAGGATGACAAATAAACGCAGCATTGATATAAAACTAATAAAAGCAGCAATGTATATACTCTGGATGAAAAGCATTTGAGATTTCGGAATGTTTGTTTATTAAAGCGCTGACGTGTTTCCCTTATTAAAAGCAAAACACGCGCATATTCAACATAAATATATTAAACTTACCTATGATGTTGTACAACTATTAACCCAAGTCTCGGTTTATGCAGTCTGCTCTCTAACACAATAAAAAGTGCTTTGCTAAACTAACTTTATTCAATACATCACCACGTCTCAAGTAAACTCCTCAACAATGGCGCCCGTCGCTCCAAGCACGGTTATTTTCAAACGATGGAGAACCCCGCCCCCTTCACTAGATTTAACCAATCAACACACCCGAATCCAGGAGCCCGCCTTCTTCTTTGAAATTTGAACGGAAGAAACAGACGCGTTGTATTGCCATCATTCGGCAGTATAGGGGAATAACACAGTATATTTGTAAAAATCAAAAATAGAAACATTTCATGCAAGAAACAACGATATCATCGAAAATAACTTGTTCATCCAATCAAAATCCACACCAGCCACTTCAATTTTCCTATCCTGCATTAGTTTCACATGGTGGATCTACAAAGGGCTCCTATTTGCTAAAGATCGTGTTTTTTTATTGGTTTAGTTTCAATTAAACCTAAATTTGCAGCATATGGCATATGATTTGAGTATGCTTATAACTAAGCTGAAACCTTTTAACAGCTATCAGTATATACCTAATCATTTTGTCAATATTACAGTCACAATACAAATCAAGAAAAAAAAGTGAATAACAACGAAGCATTAATTTATAAGAGTTACTTTATTAAAAGCTTGCTTACTTCAGATAATGTACAGCATAAATATGCCTTTTCTACACACACTCACACACACGCTCACACACTCACTCACACTCACACACACACACACACACACACGCTCACACACACACACACACACTCGCTCACACACTCACTCACACTCGCTCACACACTCGCTCACACGCGCACTCACACGCGCACTCACACTCGCTCACACGCGCACTCACACGCGCACTCACACTCGCTCACACGCGCCCTCACACTCGCTCACACACTCACTCACACTCGCTCACACACTCGCTCACACGCGCACTCACACGCGCACTCACACTCGCTCACACGCGCACTCACACTCGCTCACACACTCACTCACACTCGCTCACACACTCGCTCACACGCGCACTCACACGCGCACTCACACTCGCTCACACGCGCACTCACACGCGCACTCACACTCGCTCACACGCGCCCTCACACTCGCTCACACACTCACTCACACTCGCTCACACACTCGCTCACACGCGCACTCACACGCGCACTCACACTCGCTCACACGCGCACTCACACTCGCTCACACACTCACTCACACTCGCTCACACACTCGCTCACACGCGCACTCACACGCGCACTCACACTCGCTCACACGCGCACTCACACGCGCACTCACACTCGCTCACACGCGCCCTCACACTCGCTCACACACTCACTCACACTCGCTCACACACTCGCTCACACGCGCACTCACACGCGCACTCACACTCGCTCACACGCGCACTCACACTCGCTCACACACTCACTCACACTCGCTCACACACTCGCTCACACGCGCACTCACACGCGCACTCACACTCGCTCACACGCGCACTCACACGCGCACTCACACTCGCTCACACGCGCCCTCACACTCGCTCACACACTCACTCACACTCGCTCACACACTCGCTCACACGCGCACTCACACGCGCACTCACACTCGCTCACACGCGCACTCACACTCGCTCACACACTCACTCACACTCGCTCACACACTCGCTCACACGCGCACTCACACGCGCACTCACACTCGCTCACACGCGCACTCACACGCGCACTCACACTCGCTCACACGCGCCCTCACACTCGCTCACACACTCACTCACACTCGCTCACACACTCGCTCACACGCGCACTCACACGCGCACTCACACTCGCTCACACGCGCACTCACACTCGCTCACACACTCACTCACACTCGCTCACACACTCGCTCACACGCGCACTCACACGCGCACTCACACTCGCTCACACGCGCACTCACACGCGCACTCACACTCGCTCACACGCGCCCTCACACTCGCTCACACACTCACTCACACTCGCTCACACACTCGCTCACACGCGCACTCACACGCGCACTCACACTCGCTCACACGCGCACTCACACTCGCTCACACACTCACTCACACTCGCTCACACACTCGCTCACACGCGCACTCACACGCGCACTCACACTCGCTCACACGCGCACTCACACGCGCACTCACACTCGCTCACACGCGCCCTCACACTCGCTCACACACTCACTCACACTCGCTCACACACTCGCTCACACGCGCACTCACACGCGCACTCA